TCTGTAAGATGTATTTACTAAGTTATTGATAGGCTGCAATCTCTTGGAGGAAGAGTCTGTATATTTTTTTCTTTCTTTCTTTCTTTCTTTTTTTTTTGGTTAGGCAATGGGGTTAAGTGACTTGCCCAGGGTCACACAGCTAGTAAGTGTTATGTGTCTGGGGCCAGATTTGAACTCAGGCCCTCCTGAATCCAGGGCCAGTGCTCTATCCACTGTGCCATCTAGCTGCCCCAAGTGTCTATATTATATTGTTTCTGTCCTAAGCACTGAAAAGCAAAAAACATGAAACAAAAAACTCCCAGAGACTAGCATAGCTTTGATATAATAGTATAGTATAATAGCTCATAATATACATGTTTAACAAATGTTTTTTGATAGAATGAATGAATGGGAGTGGATAAAATGTAACTCAGATCAGTTATAAACCAGAATAAGAATCACTGCAAAGAATAATATAAGAAAGATTATACTTATAGGTCACACACACACACACACAATGGGCATAGGAACCATTAAATGTGTTCAAAAGTGTTATTTAGACCTACTAGAGGGCAGAGCCAAGATGGCGGAGGGAAAGCAGTGACTGTCTTGAACTCTCTTCCAAAGCCCTCCAAATACCTAAAAGGATGGCTCTGGACAAGTTCTAGAGCAGCAGAACCCACAAGGGCACAGAGTGAAACGGGTTTCCAGCCGAAGATAGCCTGGATGGTTGATCAGAGGGGTGTATCATGCTGGGCAGGGTGAGGAGCGTGGTTCAGTGTGGGCATGGCGGGCTGCATCGACCCTGGAGCAAGCCTCAGAGGACTGAGTCCTGGGTGACTGTGGCAGTGGCTGTGATGCTTTTCAGACTTCTCAACCCAGGAACGCCAGGGACAGCTTGGAGGGTCAGTGGGAGGAGTCTGTGACTGCGGTGAGGGACAAGCTAGGTCTTAGCCACAAGTCTTGAGCACAGGCCCAGGCCGCAGCTTTTTCCTGAGCTTCCAGCCCACAGACTGAGGGGTAGTTGTGTGGCTGATCAGAGGTGGATTGCGGGGATCTCTTTGCCAGTGCTGAGGCAGGAATCTCTTGCTTTGCAAGTGCTTGGATCTGGGTCGCAGTGGGGGTGGTCCTGGGGTGAGGGAGAGCACTAGTGCAGTGGGGCTTGTGGTGATGGAGAGAAAACACCTTGCCCCTTGTCATACCACCTTGGAAGAACTGAGAATTTTCAGGTCCCTAGAAGTACCTCTGAAAATAACTGTACAAACCCCCAAAGCTTGGGACCGTACACTTCACATTGGAAGCAGACTTTTAGCTTAACAAAGAGTTTAAAACTCAAGTAATTGGTCAGGATCATGGGTAAGCGGTGCAAAAAGAGTCAGACTATATTATCTTACTTTGGTGACAAAGAAGATCAAAACATACAACCAGAAGACAACAAAGCCACAGCTCCTACATCCAAAACCTCCAGGAAAAATATGAATCAGTCCCAGGCCTTGGAGGAGCTCAAGGGGGATTTTGAGAAGCAAGTAAGAGAAGTAGAGGAAATACTGAGAGTGATGCAAGAAAATCATGAGGAACGGGTGGGCAGCTTGCTAAGGGAGACCCAAGGAAGTACTGAGGAAAATAACACCTTAAAGGGTTGCCTGGCCCAGATGGCAAAAGAGGTCCAGGAGGCCAGTGAGGAGAAGAATGCCCCAAAGAGCAGAGTTGGCCAAATGGAAAAGGAAGTCCAAAAGATTGCTGAGGAAAATACTTGCTTAAAGATTGGAATGGAACTTGGAGCAATTGGAAGCTGGTGACTTTATGAGAAATCGGGACACTGTAGAACAAATCCAGGGGAATGAGAAATGAGAAAACAATGTGAAATATCTCATTGGAGGAACAACTGGCCTGGAGGGTGGATCCAGGAGAGAGAACTTAAAAATTGTTGGACTGTCTGAAGGCCATAGTCAGGGAAAGAGCCTGGACATCGTCTGTCAAGAACTGATCTGGGAAAACTGCCCTGGTATTTTAGAACCAGAGGGCAAAATAGAAATCGAAAGAATCCACCAATCTCTTCCTGAAAGAGATCTCCAAAGGAGAACTCCTAGCAGTGTCGTGGCCAGGTTCTGGAGTTCCCAGGTCAAGGAGAAAATGTTGCAGGCATCCAGAAAGAAGCAATTCAAGTGTTGTGGAAGCACAATCAGGACAACACGGGATTTGGCTGCTTCTGCACTGGGGGATCACAGGGCATGGGATGTAGTATTCCAGACAGCAAGGGAGATAGGACTGCAGCCAGGAATTGCCTACCCAGCAAAACTGAGTATGGTCCTGCAGGGGAAAAGGTGGTCATTCAGTGAAATGGAGGACTTTGGAGCATTCTTGATGAAGAGACCAGAGTTGAATAGAAAATCTGATTTTTGAATGCAGGACTCAAGTGGAGCATGGAGAGGTAAACAGGAAAGAGGAAATCATAGGAAACTTGTTGGGGTTGGGCTGTTTGCATTCCTGCATGGAAAGATGACGTTTGTGGCTCATGAGACCTTTGTCAGTGTTGGGGTAGTTGGAGGGGAAAAAATTATATGTACGTATATATAGATGTAGATAGATGGATAGAGGGCACAGGGTGAGTTGAAAATGAAGGGGTCATATCCAGAGAATGGAATTAAGGAGTGAGAGAAGAATATATTAGGAGAAGGAGAAAGGGAGAGGTAGAATGGGGTAAATTATCCCACAAAAAAAAAACAGAAAGGAAGGGGCTCTTGCAGTGGAGGGGAAGCGGGGGAAGGTGAGAGAGAATGAGTGAATCTTATCCTCATGGGATTTGACTTGAGGAGGGAGTGAAGTGCACACTCCGATGTGGAGGTCTGTCTTGCCCTTCGAGGGGGAGAAGGGGGACAGGAGAATGGGGGGATGGTGGAGAGGGGCGCAGATTGGGAAAGGGAATAATCAGAAGCAAATACTTCTGAGGAGGGTCAGGGTCAAAAGAAAGAATAGAGTAAATGGGTGGGCGGGATAGGATTAAGGGAGATAGAGTTAGTTTTTCACAGAATGTCTACTATGGAAGTGTTTTGCATAACTGCACATGTATAACCTATATTTAGTTGCTTGCCTTACCAATGAGTGTGGGTGGGGAGGGAGGAAGGGAGGAAATTTGGAACCCAAAGTTTTAAAAACACATGTTTAAAAAAAATGTTTTCACATGCAACTGGGAAATAAGAAATACAGGAAATGGGGTACAGAAATCCATCCTGCCCTACAGGAAAATTGAAGGGGAAGGAGATAAGAGAAGGGGGGAGAGATAGAAGGGAAGGTAGACTAGGGGAAGGGGTATTTAGAATGCATGCCATCTTGGGGTGGGGGGAGGGGCGAGATGGGGTGAAAATTTGGAACTCAAATGTTGAAAACAAAAAAAAGTAAATGTTGAAGTAAATGTTGAAAACAAAAAAAAATAAAAATTAACATAAAAGTGTTATTTAATCTATAAAATACTTATTTAAAAGTAACTTCTCCCAGAGAATTTTTGAAATCAGTCTTAGACTATTTCAAAAAATGATGAAGAAAAGAAGCAACAATTGAAAAAGAAAGGCCAAAGAGAGTTGGACTGAATTAATGCTGTTGCAACTATGCCTTAGGCTTCCATACTTATTCTTTCAAAACTGGTCATGTGTAACTCTGGAATGAGGAACAAATTGTTAGAATTCATAGACAAAAAAGAAATATTTTTTTTTTCATTTTATCACTGGTCTCAAGTAATCCATTAGGATTCCAACAGCTACTGTCATGAGTTGCAACTTGAAATAGAAGAAACTGTGTCAAACCCAAAACAGTGCCACTCATTTGGAACAGGAAATTCATTAGACTGTTTGCTTGTCTCAGTGTGAGGCAAACTGACCTTTTGATTATTTTGCCTTAAACAATGTGCTTTCAGTCTACACGTGCGTGTCATCTTTCTTGTTTTGGTTTTCTATCTCCTTTCTAACACAACAATATGAGTCTCTCCCTTCAGTTGGAGAGGTTAGGGGAGGTGGAAGGTGAGGAAGAACAGGAAGGAATCAACCCAGGGAGTGATCATATGGTCCTCCATCTGTTGCCACTGCAGACGATTACAGTTGTGGCATTTATGATCTTGGACGCCGATGGTGAAATCTAGATAGGAAGCTTGAGTCATATGTGTCCTAAAGGCCAAGGTTATCAAATGACGTCATAGCTGGCATTCTGTAGCTTAGAGGGATCTAATGTGGTTTCCCAAACCAGGGTGGGCCCTACGCAAAATTGTTACGTAGGCAAACCTAATCTTGGACAACTGCCCACCTCGCCTTACCATGCTCCCTCCTTCCTCTTCACATACCTTTCATTCACTTCTATCCCCATTTCTAAATCACTCAATAACAGTCTTCAGGGCAATGTCCTGTGCTCTGGACTTTTCTTTTCCAAGCATCCATATGAATCAGTCTAGTTTTCCATGTCTTCAGTCAACTGGCTAGTGAATGCACAGAGTGTCCCCAAAGTCTTAAAGTAGTGTTAAGATTTTATAGCTTAAAACTGCACTAAGACTTTGGGGACATGCTGTATGTTAAGATGCTACCTCGTCCAAGAAAAATATTTGCATTTTCACAGATTGTTTTTCAAGGCATAATGTTTTAACTCCCTTAGAAAAACTCTCATTCTTTGAATTTCATCACAACACAAGCCTGTGTTGGAGATATCACAGGTCAGAGAAGGCTTGCAATGTTCCTCAAAAGTCATATCACAGAGGTGGCTAGCTACATGATCCATGTGTATATTATTGCTGGCTTTCATCTCTTGGTGTAAAGAGTCAGTTCTTCTGACACAGCATTGATTTTTCAACTGTACTATTTCTTTTGGTTTCCCATTATCATTTTATTTTTAAAGTACTCTTACTTACCAAATTCTACACAAGGGAAGATACCTCAAAGTCTAAATTAAATGTGGGCAAAATGTAATTAAATACTCAAACTCAAGCATTTTTTTAAAGACTAAAGCAACAAATTCTATTGGAGAAGGGTTATTTTACAAACCTGGATGAAGTCAAATATTGTAAGTGGCAGAAGGTCATCTAGAATTGCTATGTCTTTGGAGAAACGGTTCAGAATTCCACCTAAAGGTCAAAAGAAAGAAACAGCCTTTCAATGAAGTCAAAGAGTCAATTTTTCATTATCTCGAAAGTATAGAGATAGAAGCAATGTGCTTGACCTAGAACCTCAAAAATGTTCATTGTTTTATAATAGTGTTTACAGTATCATCTTATCTCTTTAGACATAACCATTTTCTGTTAAGTTTCAGGGGGAAAAATGTCTGACCACAGCGGACCTTTTATCTTTGGTCATAAATAACATCCAACAGTCTAACTATGTTCACACTCCAATCCACATACACACTTTAGTGTAACTGTAATGTACTGAGGTTCCTGGCATCTTTTTAATTTAATAAAACAAAAGGCTAAGTATTTACTAATGGAGATTCTCCATAGTCTTTGCTAAGTAGTTAAAAAAATACACAAAAATAAAAAAAAAAACATTGGCTCTAGAGGTAAGAAAACTTGGGTTGGAATCTTTTCACTGACTTATACTATCTATTTAACCCTGAGTGAGTCACAAGACCTAAGTCATTTCCCTCATCTATAAAATGAGGATAATAATGCCTATAGTACCTACCCACTAGATTGTTTTGAGTATCAAATAAGAGAATGTGTATAAAGTTCTTAGCTGTATAAATATCATTTTTTCCTCATAATACCAAAAATCAAATTATTATATATTGCCCCTAATCAGCAAAAAAGTAGGAGTAAGTTAAAAGAGAGAATGCATTCTTCAAAAGCCCCAGAAAATTCTCAAAATAGGTCAATTTAGGTAGTTATAATTTAATTTGGCTTATGTCCAGGGGTATGCTGGAGCTATCTCAATCCAGTTTGAAAGAGCTGGAATGTTAAATTTTCAGTGTAAGCATTTATATCTCAGAAATCAACAAACGTTATAAAAGAGGACTTGATTTGTTGTTTTGTTGATTGTTAATAATGCAGATTAAAATTAAAAGTGTCTGAGTACATTTTTTTCAGAGAGCTGTTGTTAAACGTTTATCAACATACCCCTGCCTAATTTCCTGTACCAACATATAAGTAAGTACAAATGAATATTCATTTGTTTTCCTTTGCATCATTTAAACAACAGACTCACAGGCTAGCAGAGAAATCCCAGAATTCTTTTGGTCCCCTTTACGAACTTCAGGGAGAATATCATGTATGCCACTGAGTTTATTTAATAATTATAAGTTAGGCAATAGATACAACATTCTCCACTAATCATGTGCTGTGATGTCTGAAAACAAATGTGGTTCAGTTCTCATCTAAGTCCTTTCTACATGTAGGCCTATTTACTTTTGCTCTTTATAAAGAATGGGAAAGTTACACTCCTCTTACTATTAACAATCCATATGACTGCCTGTGTAATCTCAGGCAAGTCACTTAACCTTTTTGGGACAGAATTTCTTCAGTAGTAAAATAAGGTGATTGAACTAGATGGCCTTTGGGGTCCCTTCCAAACCTTGATCCGTAATACTAAGTAAAGGTTATATAATCACACTTTTGCCCTCTATCTATAACTACGAACAGTTCGCAGCATAAGTGACTTTGTGCATTTCTGTATTTGTTAAAATAAAAAAATAAAAAAAGAAATGTATATAAACAATCTACAGAGTTTGTGAAAATAAGTAAAAGCAGTTTCAGGAAAAAAAATTATGAATACAATACTTATTCCATTTCAAATGATGGCTTTCTCTCAAAATGTCAGAATTCCTTGACTCAATCAACTCTGCACATGACACTATACTTAAATATTCTTAAATATTTAAATAAATATTAAATAAATGACTGGAAAATGAGAGAAATAATCAGAGACAAGAAAATAAATTCAACAAAGATGAATGCTGTTGAATAGCTGAGGAATCAAAACCAAAAGGCAGATATAAAATGGAGACTTAATTATAACAGAAAAACATCTAGCTGTCTCAATGGATAAAAAACGAACCACAAATCACAATGTGGTGCAAGTAGTAAATAAGAATCAGACAGGGTGTGTGAGACTGGAGATGGAGGTAGGATTAGGTAACTCTAACATTATACTTGGAGGTGGAAAGAGAACTGGATTTGGAATCAAAGTATGAGGGTTTAAATTCCCTCTCTACCCCTTCACATTACTTACGCTCTTGGGGAAACATTAAAACCCATGGGTCTGCTTCTTCATCTATAAAATGAGGATATTGTAGCAGATAATGCCTAGGGTCCCTTTCAGCTTAAAAAGCAGAATCATTTTTAGTATTCTGAGGTCACTGTGTTCAATTCTCTATAACCTGGAGAGGTTTCAGAGCAGCCCCATAATTAAAATGTTGAAAAAAAATAGATTCACAAGAAACATTTAAGGGGATAGGGTAGATTGAGATATGATTTATTAGTAGCCTTCAAAGGCATGAGGAACTCAGGCAGGTGGTAAGATATAATGAAAAGTACACTACAATGAAAGTCAGAAGATTTGAGTTCTGGTATAACTTCTGCCACATACACTAACAATAACTGTTACCTTGAGTGAATTATTTACTCTTTCTGGCTTTGAGTTTCTTCTTTTGTTAAATGAGGGAATTGGACTATATGCTTTCTAAAATTCCTTCTGCCTCTGATACTTTCTGGTTCATAAACAGACTACTGAAGTGATTGCCTCTTTAAGGTATAGTTCCTAATCATTTCGATATGGATGATGATATTTTCCTTACATATCTCAATGGATTGGCAGAAAGATCAGACAAGCTAATGAATGTGAGGATATCAAAGTACTTTAGATGTGCAAGTCTTTATGTATGCCCTAAAAACACAAAAGCAAACAAGATCTGAATGCAAACTTGAGAGATAAAGACTTATTTTTTTCTTTGGGAGTTGGATTTAAAATCGATGTCTGACATTGAAGTTCTTTCCCTTCTTTAAGCTTCTTTATACAATGAAAGCCATTATTAACCCCATTTTATAGTTGAGGAAACTGAGGCAAAAAGAAGGTAAGAAACTTGCCAGCGGGTCACACAGCTAGTAAGTGTCTGAGACCAGGTTTAGACTGGTCTTCCTGAAATCAGGCCTACTACTCTCCACTGCACCATTAGCTGCCTCTAACCAGGCTTGTGCAGCTATCTAGACATGACATGAGGACAAATTTTGCTATCATGACTTCAATGATGTGATGTTTTAGCAAATTATGGTAACCTAATTGACTGAAAAGACCATGATAAGACCTAAAAATCTTAATAAACAGACAAACAAATAAATAAATTGTAGATGCTACCTTTGTAAATGTATGTTATTGGTCACTAGAGGGATTAGACAAAAAAAAGTGGATGTTTCAGTGCAAATCCATCACAACTGAAAAAAACAACTAAAGTCACATGTCCCTGGGGATCAATAGTTTTATTTCACACAAAGGACAGTACATTCTTTCATCAAAGTACCTGCTTTCAAATTGCTGAAGGTTGACATAGGTGCTTTCAAAACGGAGCATAACATTTTGTGATGCAGAATTTTGGAGACTGATATTAGTGTATGCACCAGTGGTAAACCTCTGAACATTCCTAGGGCAAAAAGTGTGTCAGCCACTCCCACATAAATATAAAAAAAATAGTATTTGCTGGTGTCGGTGATAATGACTCCATAGGTGTTATTGGTCCCATTTGAATTTGTTTTATCTTTAAGAGAGGTCCTGTAAAACAAAGAAGAAGTAATTATTCAGCAATTGGAGATTTCTCTTTGTTTTATTCTTCCAAAAACATAAATAATACTGACTTTGAGTTTGATGGGTCCCCAAAATTTTACTTACTAGAGAAGGTGAACTACTGAGATTTTCAGAGCATGAAAAGAGTTTATCATACCATAGACAAAGCCAGTCTACTTTAACTTTTGAAACAAATTATAGCATGAAAAAAAAAATTTCATGTTTGAAAATCTTTGAAAAAACATGAAGAAAAATTTCATGTTTGAATTCGTCCCCAAAGTTGTCACTGACTCTCAGAGAAAACTGGGTGCAAATTTTTTCTTCTGGGTACTAGCAGAGGACAATAGGATATGGACATGATCAAGTCTTTTCTTTTTCAGTAAAACTAATAGAGACCCAGGCAGAGAGAAAATTAGAAAATATAATCTAGATCAGTAGAACTTTGAAACAAATTTTATTATTCCCTGCCCTCTCACAAAAAAAGGAGTGAACTTAATGCACAGTAAAATATTTTTTAAAGACACATTAGAAATAAGACAAAATTCACAACCTGGGATACTCACTCCTTTAAGATCCAAAACCCAACCAAAGAAGCAGCCACCTGCAACAGGACAACAAACAGTTAAATTTTCCCCTGCCAAACAGTGTCCTTTTCAATATCCTCCACTCCCTGAAAGCACATGCATTTTTGTTTTGTTTTGTTCAGCAGCTGTAATAATTGTCCACAACACCAGTATGTTTAGGGAGAATACATTAAGAGAAGAATTCAAATTGCATCAGAGTAAAATACCTTGTCATTTATTCCATCAATCAACAGGAAAATTAATTGAATCTCATCAGGAGGGATAAGTTACAGTGAAAGCATTTGAGTGGGAAAAATCACTTTTTACTGGTTTCATGAATGAGTCTGTGAAAGCTCATTCACAGTCACAAGTAATATTTTCCATATGAAGCATCTGAACATAAAATTTGGCAAAATTTTGTCAGTATGTTTTTTTTCTTAATTTTTTGCTTCTTCTTTTTTTATTGTGAATGGGACAGATGCTAACAAATATGATCATTTCCATACACAAAGAACAATAGAAACAAAAGAATAGCACGTGAGAGACTTACTTAATTTTGTCCATCTTACTTTTAAAGACTCTAATAAATTAAGCCTGATAATGCCAATCCTGCCCTGCTTGTCTGTATATCTCTGATTTTCCTTCTGTTCTATTCTATTTATTTTATAAATGGTTTATTCATGTTCATCTTCTTCCTTCTTTTTTGGCGGGGGGAGGTCGGAGTGGCACCACGGAGTTTTGAAAAGAGGATTCTGCAAACCACTAGAAACAATTACTAAGAGCACTTGCAATTGGGTATTAGCCCTGAGCAGGCTGATACAATGGCAAAATACTCCTCACCCTGACTCCAGAGAGTTACATAAGAATCTTGGTTAGTTGCTAAAAGTACTGTACATTTCACACAATTACTGTTTGATTCTATTACCTACAAAGCCATCTATTATAAGAAGATTAAGATTCATGAAGAGAAATAAAAATTCTAATTGGAGACAAAGAACTCAAAGTTCTTTAAAAATCTATCTAGGAAGATAAATAAAGTATAGTTATGCTAATATAACAGGCATTTGTATGGAAGTCTTGGGAGACTTCTAAATACGAAAAATTCTGGTCAAGGAGAAATATTCCTTTTGTGGCAGTCCTGGAAAGTAAGTATGAAAAGAAAGATATTTGCATTGCCAGCCTTACAAAGTTGTAAAGAAAGTTCATTATAAATGTTAATGCACCATGTAAATCATTTATCATTTCTATTTTATAGACAAGTGAACTAAGGGCTAAGGTAGATAAGAAAAGGCAATGCTAGGTAATATAGGGAAATTAGAACTATTACACAACTAAAACCAAGTATTGATTTATGTGTACATACTTTTATCTATATCTTCAGTCTGGACTTTCCCTCCCAAGTTCCAGTCTTATTTCCAGCCACCTTCTGATACTCCTACCTAGATTTCTTACTATCCCTTAAACTTCTCATTTTCCTTGTCCCTTGACAAATTAGTTCTGATTTCCATACTTCTAGTAATGGTATTGCTATTTTCCTGGTAACCCAAGTGCAAAGTTTGTCACTCCCACATCCAACCAATTAATAAGTTGGATCAATTCTTGCTTCACAATCTATCTTAAAATGTATATCCTTTTCCTTGCCCCTCCACTTTAGTTTAGACCTTTATCATATATTATCTAGCCTATTGCAGTTGCCTCCTCTATTTGATGTCTCTGTCTCCATCCTCTCTTCCTTGCAATCCATCCAACAAACTGCCACCAAATTTATATTCTTCTTCTTTTTTTTTTGATGAGGCAATTGGGGTTAAGTGACTTGCCCAGGGTCACATAGTTAGTAAGTGTCAAGTGTCTGGTTTGAGGCTGGAATTGAACTCAGGTCCTCCTGACTCCAGGTCCAATGCTCTATCCACTGTACCACCTAGCTGCCCCTAAGTTTATCTTCTTAAAACACCAATCTGATAACAATCCTCCTCTGCTGTAGTGCTTTCCATGGCTTCCTATTGCTTAAGTTTTTTTTTTTAAGCCAGGCATTCAAGATCCTCCGAAATCTGTTCTTTATCTACATTTCAAGCCATTTCCCCACTATCCACATAATATTCATCCATTCATTCATTTGTTCATTCATTCAATGTTGGCTGAATACATACCAGGTAAAAGAAGCCTCTTATTTTTTTCAAATTTTTACCGACCATTCCTTCATCATCTCTTCTAGTTTCTCACTGCTACATCTGTACTCATGCCATTTCCTCTGACTAAAATACCTGTCTGTGCCACCATTACCATGATACCATCATATCACCCCTCCCAAACACACATCTGCTCACCCAAAACCTCTACCAAATGAAATTTCACCCATTTTTATAATTAGGTTTCTTTTCTTAAAAAAAGGCTAATGCAAATGATCATTCCAAGCAGAAGCCATCTCTCCATTTGTACTATTTTAGTTTATACTCTCTGCATTATCATTCATTCTTTCCTTAGAACCTGATACCTAGTACTGCAGTTATCTGTATACAAGACCTATACTCAAATGGTCTGTGAAATGAATAAGGGGAGGGATCAGGTCTTTATACATCTTTGTATACCTCCCTCACAGGCCCCAGTACAGCTGCTTGATATAGAATATCTCTTGATAACTACTTGTTGAATGAATGACTGTACTTTATGCATTATATGAAAAATTTAAGAGGCTTAACTGCTTTCTTTGGAAAGCTCTAACTTTAGCAACAAAATACGGAGTCACAAACAAAGCAAGATTGAGGAAAAGGGAGGGGAAAGGAGAAGGAAGAAATGTGAAGGGAGAATGTTAGAAGGCCAAACTTGTGATGTCATCAGTATATAGAACTTCTCAAGTGGAAATTTCTTCTACCTATGCAGATTGAGCACTCATCTGTAGCTTATAGTGTTACAGAGCTATCTGGGAGCACTTAAAGATTCAATGATTTACTCATAGTCACAGGAGCTAGTAAATGGAAAAGGCAGTACTTGAATTCAGGTCTTTCTGACTCCAATACCAGTACTCTATCCACTATGCCACACTACTTCTCACATTGGAAGCAACTGCTTCTCACATTGGAAGCACTGAAATTAAAAAATTATTTGGAAAAATGCTAAAATCACACATTTATTTTTATAGAAATTTCAAGCAAGTCAAATCAAATACTAAAAATGAATTCCATCTGAACTAAATTCACTAAGTGAAGTGACTAGATGTCATTTCAACTGGAAGATCACTACTGAAGAAGGATTTCCTAACAATTTTATTGATAACTAAAATGGAAGCCCAAGCTGTACACCAGGAAGGAAGCCATTACAAAGTCTCCCAATCTGTTAGTTTTTTAAGTCAGAATATTGGAACAAGGAGAGACTTTCAGAATCATCTAGTCCAATCTCCTCATTTCACAGATGAGGGAAGTGACTACTCATCTATTAGTTGTATATTATCTCTACATAACAAATCCTGCTATGCCACTCAGAACTAATAACAAAAATTTAGTGGTCCTTCAAGAATTTTACAAAACCTTAATATAATTCAAAATTGAATATCTAAGTATTAAGGATTGAATGCTGAGAACTAAAGTCATATAGGGGGCATTTAAATACTTATTAATTTACCGATTAGAACACTGCATTCTTTAATTTTAACATAATTTAAATTTAAATAAAAACAATTTAACATGCTGTCGTAACTAAAAGAGAAGTAAATGAAGTCTATATCTAGAATAATGTAAAATCTAAAATGAAGTAATACAAATAAAAAATTGGCACTGGTTAAGCCTCAGGGAAAAAAGGGAGTGGGTAAGGAAGGGTAGGAACCATTTCATAAGGAAAGAACAGCCCTGCTCTCTTTCTTTGGGCATTATAAGGATAACCATGAGCACCTTGATAGCAATAACAATAGAAAGAAGAAAGCTAGTTCAGTGCATGTACCATGATACTTGTGGCAATACTTCTAATATAACTATGTAAATATTCAATTTCATCAATTGTCATATTGCCTAGGTATTAATGTAGGGATATTCCTTATTTTTAATCATCCAAAGTTTGAATTAGAGAAAACCACAAAGCTGTCAACAATGACCATAGATGACAATAAAATGTTCAATTATGTAAGTCTGAGGGTCTTAGATGATATTCTACTATATTCAAGGTTATCCTAAGTAAAAAGTAGCTTTAAAATAGAACAGTTCTATGTAACCATCAAGAGCCCACTACTAGGAACAAACCCAAAGGAAGTCATTGATAAAAAGAAAGACTCAATATATACTAAAATATTTATAGTAGCATTTTTTTTGTAGCAGCAAAGAACCTGAAACAAAGTAGATGTCCATCTGTTGGGGAAATGCTAAGCAAATTGTGGTACATGAATGCAATGGAATATTACTGAGGTATAAGATAAGACAAAAATGAGGAACACAGAGAAGTTCAGATAGACTTATAGGAACTGAGGCAAAGTGAAGTAAACAGCCAGTAAAATAATACATACAATGACTCCAACTATGTAAATGAATAGAACAACCATAAAACAATTAAAAATTAATGTTATAAAATTATAAAGAACAATTTTGTCCCCAAAGAAGACATATGAGAGGATACCTCCCCCTTACTCTTTTGTAGAGGTAAGGAGGAATATGTGGAACATTGAGCATAATGTCAACTTTTTGTTTGATATATTGACCAATTTAGTTGAATTCAATTATCTTTCTCTTTTTTAAAAAAAAATTATTTTTGTAAGGGATGGCTGTCTTGAAAGGGGAGAGGAAAAGAGAAAGGGGAAAAATCTAAGGGATGTAAAAACAAAAGATCTCAATAAAAACTATTTTTAAAAAAGAAATATACTAAAAAGGTATGCTGTGACTAAAAGCAGAACTTAGGTTATTTATAATACAATTGTCAGTTCTCCCTTGGGGAGTTTCATTATGTTTTAATTATGTAAAGTTCTGGTAATACACCTGCTACAGAAGCAGCATGGCACTGTGAATATGAGACCTGGCTTTGGAGTCAGGAAGGCCTGGCTTCCAGTCCTGCCTGTCACACACCAGCTCTCTGACTTTAGGCAAGTCATTTAACCTTCTGATGCTCCAGGCAGTGTACTGAGATGAAGTAATAGCTAATAATAAATAGCTAACAATTATATAGCACTTACTATGTGCCTGGCACTGTGCTAAGTAAGTCACACCTGTACTGATACAGAGAAATTCCTTATCAGGAGTTCACTACACTAATAAAATCATAGGTTTGGTTAAAAAAAAATCTGCTAGTTTGAGAAGCTGAAAAGGAAGTTGCCAAAGATATTTATGGTTTCTATATGTCAGCCTTGGATTTTTCCTTATCTCCCTCCAAATTATCATATTTTATGCATAAAAAGTCAACATTCTTGAACAGATTTCAATTCATCTACATTATTGAGGCAGTTATGCATGATTTATAATTTCTTTTATGTAATAGTAATTAACTCTGTCATACCATTTTACGTATATTTGTAAATAAAAAGACATAAATCACCTAATAAAAGAAGAAAGGAAACAAGCATTTATTATGTACCTACTATGTATCAGGCACTATGTTAAGTACTTTACAAGTATTTTCTCATTTGATCCTCCCAACAACACTGTAAGAGTAAGTGCTATTATTATTTCCCTTTCAGAGTTTAGGAAATGGAGGCAGATAGACATTGAGTACTTGCCCAGGGTCACAGACACTAAGTGTTTGAAGTCACATTTGAACTCAGGTTTTCCTGACTTTAGGCCCAACAGAATGTTCCTCTGTGCTATCTAGATGCCAAGAAAGCTAAGACTGTTTCTTTAAAATGCCTTTAGGGTAATTGAAATTTTAAAATTATAACAATAATTGGAGTGTAAATGTCTCTTTTATTTGACTGGCTCTATTTGACTTCCATGGTAGTAACTTCAATAATATAGCCTGTTAAAAATAGTTTGAAGCAACTAAACTATGTACATAAATACATTGCATAAAAATACAAGGCCATGTTTCTATCTCCATTCACCAAAGGATCTTAAATTTTTTTTAGCTCTAGACAGAATTTCATAAAAACAATCAAATACTCAGAATGCACTTTCAAGAGTGAAAAAAAAATATTTCTAACATATCTAAACCCAATATCTAGAATGCACCTAAGACACCATCTTTTTTTTTTTAACCTCATTTTACAGATGAGGAAATTGAGGACCAGGGACATTTCCTAAATTCAGACAGGTAGTAATCACCAGAAACAAGATTTTGAACCCAGGTTCTCTGGTGTCAGAATCAAAACTCTTTCCCCTATCCCATAATGCTTCTCTGTACCAGAAATAGCATGGCTTATGCTTAGAGATCCAGCCTTAGAACCACATAGACCTGAACTTAAATTCCACTTCTGACATATAGTAGTTGTTTGACTGTGGGCAAGTCCTTTAATCTTAGAGTCCAAGAGAACAACATTTCGGAGAAGGTGCAAACTTGCACTGGTAGAAGGAGTTTACTCATTTCCTAGTTCCTTTTACCAATAAAATAATTGATCTGGTCCCAATCCCATACAACTAAATCCACAGTTTAGATAATACTCTTAAAAAAATGGCAAACTCTTAAGGATCCAGACCACATAGATGAGGACCTTAAAAAATTTCAGACATCATTGCCTTTTTTTGAACAATATGGATTACTCTTTTGAAAGATGCCTAAGTCCAAATCTATGGGACAAAGTTGTGGTAAAAAAAAAATATAGATAGATATATGGATAGATAGATAGATAGATAGATAGATGGATAGATATGTCTACATATCTATATATATTTATTTTCATACACATATATGTGTATATACACGTGTGTGATATGGATATGTGTATATATAGAGATATATATGTATGGATACATATATAAAAATAATCATGTTCTTTTTTGACACCTTTGCTTTACATCAATACATGAACCTCAACCTATATAACTTTGTAACTTGAGGACAAACATTATAACCTTTCAACCCAGGAGCTCAGGTCATTAATAACTTTGAAGTATTGATTTGGGATTTACGATGTCAAAGGGCTGGGTTTAATTCATATTAATGATGATCATTTGGCAAGACTGTCCAAGATTAATTACATGACTGTAAAGTACCATTTTTTTCTATTGGGCAACTTCTAATTAATCATTTCCTGAAAGGGGGAAACTCTGCCACCAACACCTGCCTAGGGAGCATTTGGTGGCACAGTGGACAGAGTGCTGGGCCTAGAATCAGGAAAACCCGAGTTCAAATACAACCTCAGACATTTACTAGCTATATGATCCTAATCAAGTCACTTAACTTCTATTTGTCTCAGCTTCCTCATCTGTAAAATAAGATGGAGAAGGAAATAGCAAACCATTTCAGTATCATTGCTAAGAAAACCTCTTGGAGTCCCTGGAAGGACTACACAAACAACAAGAAAAATCTAGGGCTCTCTCTTATCCCTAGATAGTGACCTCTTTTCATCTAAACCCAGGTGATAAGGTATAGACTTTAGGACCAAAAGGTAATTTTCAATTAGAATATCCCTAGGAGGCCCTTGCCCTGGATAATGCCTGAAGAAACTTCCAGAGACCAGTAGTTCCTATCCAACCTAAGGATTTAGTAGTTTATTAGCACAAAAGTGACCTACAGATCAGCCACTGAGAAAGAGTGAACGAATAGATGGATGAATGAAAAAGCATTTTTAAGCACTTATCTCCTGCTAAAAGTTGTGCTAAATCCTAGGAGGTACAAATACAAAAACAAGGAGAGTCTGTGAAAGGAAAGTAGTAGCCAGGGAAGGGCACTTACATTTGAAAAGTTTCTGATATAGTGAGTGGGGTCATAAGTGAGTCAACTGAATAAAGTCCTTCCCTTGCACTGATTTCAGAACTACTCTGGTCTAACTAAGAATAATACTAGAGGAAAGATCAACTTAAACCATATGAGGCAGAACTGTCTATTTCATCCATAAAGGTCTTGTACTGTTAATTATATAGTCCAACATTTTTTCTCAGAAATTGCAGATGGGAGGCACTATCTCTGTAGAACTTAAAAATCTGCTTACTGTTCATTAGCTTAATTCATCATTGTTTCATCTTTAGTGAAGAGACAGCTCTCCATCTTCAAACTCACCGCTGTGCTTGTGATAACCATTCATATGTTACCTATGACCATACAATTTCTTACGAGTAACTGCTTGTATGTCTAAGGTAGGTCAGTCTTGAATGATTTACATTCCTCTACTTCTCTTCACCGACATGTTTTGTTCTTCACTATGCTCTGCTCTCCTTTCTCTCTCTCAATTGCCTTATCTTCTTTTTCTATCTCCTAGTTCAAATATCATCAAATTTATTTATTTCCATTTCACTCTAAGGAATTTCATAGCTAGTCATCTACACTTCTGTTGATAGAGAGAGGCTGTTGGTGGGGCAGTAGATAGAGCATCAGGCCTGGAGTCAGGAAGACCTGAGTTCAGATCCACTCTCAGACACTTACTAGCTGTGGGACTCTGGGTAATTCCATTAACCTCTATTTGCCTCAGTTTCCTCAACTGTATAACAGGGATAATAATAGCACCTACCTTACAGGGTTCTTATGAGGATCAAATGGGAAAATATTTGTAAAAGCATTTAGCACTGTGCCTGGCACATAGTAGGCACTATGCAAATAATTATTCCCTATTCAGAATGGCCCTTTTCTCTAAGACAAAACTCATCTCTTCACTATTCCATTTACCTTTCTAGTCTGGTCTCTAACATGCCTTTGAATAATAGCCTCACTCCACACCTTTTTATATCTTTGCTAGATATCAAATGCACGTACATAAGTTTTTGAAAGTAACTTTCACAATAAGCTTGAAAATTGTATTCTTAATTTGGAATGATAATAATTCATTATAAGTAGAACATTCTTACCTCAACCAGAAAAATAACGAGGCACCAAATTAGCACAAAAACTAAGCTCTTATGAACAGTAATATATCTGAGGTAGGTGTTCCATGTGGTAACAGCTGGGATGTTTTCTACATCATCAAAAAACCACTCCTGGGGAAAAAATGACCATGATTATTTGTAATGGTCCAAAACTGGACCACACTACATTCATATTTTTAATTGAGTAGGCAGAAATAACTACAATGTTATTTTCTGATATCTAGAGAATTTTCAGGAATTTAAAATCATGTAAGGAAAATTTATGATGGTGTCAACTTGATTCTTTAGCAAATATCACATCCCTTTCAAAACCAGGAAATACTACATTTTTCAAATTAGGGTATCCATATCTCAAGTAACTGAATGACTGAATAATTACTTAAAACCAAATTATTGAAATGCTAGTCCATATTACTCATTACACAAAAGGAATATTAATGAATGGGATTTTTAAATCATAATATCTAAAAATCTATGAACATTGAAATGATACATAAAGTATTCTTGAATGCCATGGATAACTTTGTTGTTTTAGATTGTGCTATAGAATTTTTCAAAGTACAAATTTTTTATGGGATGGGCCTTAAAATAATCTTCTCTGGATCTTTAGGGATTCCCCCAAGTTTACAATTTTCTCTCACGTACAGTAATGAGGTAACTACAAGATTATTATTTTGGATTTCTTCTTCTGGGTTTCTATTGCAATTAGTGTCCTAGGCAGATAAAATCCAAATGGTTAAAGAATGGAAGGACCAGGTAAAGCGGTGGGATATTCAAGTCTCTCAAAAAGACTCAGAATAAACTCAGATACTAGTCCCAGAACTACCACTAATTTGCTCTGTAGGTTTTTTTTTCCTAATGTCTTTTCCATCTTTAATGATGAGGCAGTTAAATGGCATAATAGATAGAGTATTGTATTTAAGGCCAGGAATACCTGAGTTTGAATTGTGCCTCAGATAATTACTGGCTTACATGATTTTATGGGACAAATCACTTAATATCTCTGTACCTCAGTTTCCTCAACTATAAAATGAGAGAGTTGAACTTCTTCACCACAATTTGTGATCCTATGATCATCTGCTCTGTGATTCTTTCAGTTCTCAGACTTTGGAGAGAAAGTACAAGGTTCTGGGGCAGCTATGTGGTGTAGTGGATAGAGCACTGGCTCTGGAGTCAGGAGGACCTGAGTTCAAATCTGACTTGAGATACAAAATATTTCCTAGCTGTGTGATGCTGGGCAAGTCACTTAACCCCAGTTGCCTCACAAATAAATAAATAAATAAATAAATAAATAAATAAAGTACAAGGTTTTATAGGGAGTGATTCCCTTTGATAATGGATCTATAATCAGAAAAGAGATTGCTTTCTTATATCCTTAAAAAAGAAAAAGGAAACCTTTAGGCTGACATTTGAAAAATCCTTTCAGATTGAAATCAAACGGTGCTTTGAGCTCTTATGTAGAAGAATTGTTGAGGCCAAGGAAACCACATCATTATGCCCCAATTCCTCAGTTTTCTAATGAGGAATCTGAAGCACAAACAGGTTAGAGTTATCCAAGATCATTTTGCTAGATAATGGAAGAGTGTGTTAATTAACCTGCTATATCTTCTCTTTTCAGAAGCAGCTAACAGAACTTGTGTGGTCCCCAATTTTTATTCTTTGAAGTCCAAGTAGTGGTCTTTAAATGTTCCACATTAATGGAAACAATTATTTATTATGGCCCAGGAAAGCAACTGGTAAATACTTTCCCAGGAAAAATCTCATTCCACATATATGCAGACCTGGTAAGGGTTATCAAAGCATAGCATCTAAATTAAATAACAAAATGATCTATAATCTTGGTGTGACATGATTGAAAACAAAGCTCACCTTGAAAGTCTCTTGGACACTTTCACATAAACTTTCTTGATTTAAGTAAAATGAAAAACTTTTTTAAAATAAGCTTTTTTTCAATATCTGAAAAATGCATTTTTTCATTCATGTGAGGTTTAAAATTATCTATCCTTCTACCTACTGAAGCACTTGATCAGATTTTCAATTCTTAAAAACCATAATTTTTTAGATAATTTATCCATACTTTGATACTCGAGATAAACTATTATTTAAACAAGTAGGTAAGTCTAAATATGAGAACTTTCCTAAAATTTTTATTTGTCTAGAGAGAACTCATTCTGGATGACATAAATATAATATAAATGGATATGTTTCAGAGCCAGAAGAGACCTTGGAAATCATACAGTCCAATTCCCTCATGTAAAAAGGTAAACATAGATTTAGACCTCAGAATTCATCAGGTTCAATCTCTCCTCCTTTATTTTATAAATGAGGAAACTGAGGCCCAAAAAGGTTAAATCAGCTTCCCAGAATCACATGAGTAACTCATAGAACCAGATTTGAACTTGAGTATCTGACTCCAATTACAATATCCTTTCCTTTGGACTCTACCACCTCATATGATGAAACTTTGGTTAGGTGATTTACTCATGGTCACATAGCTAACCGGTAAAGAATTCAAATTTAACTTAGATTTTCTGATTCCAGATCTACTGTTCTTTCCAAAATAAGATAATGCCTGTGAGCATGTACATATGTGTACATGTGAATATAGATATGTATCCATATACACATATATGTACATGCATATGTTCATATGCATATATGTATATGTATATACATGGCACGCTAATACATGACTACAGTAGTGTACCAGCATATACAGTTGATCTGAACAAGCACTATCCTTTGCATAATATAAACTTCTAGAGGACAAGAATGGTGCTCTCACTTACATTTCTGTCCATATGTTAGAGTTCCATTTACACTGTGGGCACATAAAACATAAGGTTTGATTTAGGTTCAGAGAGGTTTTCATATGTAGTCCCAATGTCAGGTTTCATATAGATTTGGGTAGATAGTGAGAACAGGGACAGGGTGTTACGGTACAAAGTACGCTTGATTATGAGTTAGAGGGCAGGGTGGATCAAATCCTAGCTCTGTCTGTGCTGCCTAGCTGTGTGACTTTGGACAAGTTATACAATATCTCTGATCTTCAATTTCCTACTCTATAAAATGAGGGGGTTAAAGTAGGTCACCCCTAAAGGCCCTTCCAGCTCTCAAATCTGTGATATATATAATAAAAATAGCCACAAATTATTCACATCTCTCCTTAATTAGTTATCAATGTGTAGGAGTTTTGAGGATTAAAAAAATACTTATTCCATATAGGGTTTAAACCCATAATTCCTGGTTTAGGAAGCCTATGCTTTATCCACTAGGCTACTGAGGCATCTGATACAAGTTGACTTTGTAAATTCAAGCAAGTCACAACTTTTTAAATCCTAGGCCATTCTCTATACATTGCAAAATAAGTGCTAATGTATATTGGTAGGTGTTTCCTCAAAGGGCATTCCCTCCACCAACAAGGGAACCTATTTCTATGCTGACCTGGAACTCCCTAAGGAAACCCACTTTCCCGTAGCAAATAAAGCACCAGCCCAGGTAATTTCTGCTGACTTTGCAAAGTTCCACTGAATATAAATGAATGCTTCAAAAAAGCTTGAAAACAGTTTGTTCTCTTGATACTTTTAGGTCACTTGTATACTAATCCAAATTTCTTCTCCCTACTCCAACGTGGTGAAAGGCCAAAGTTTAAACACACACACACACACACACACACACACACACACACACACACCCCTCTCCGAATGCTAGTAAGTTTTACTAGATAAGCTGTGATAAATATAAAAAGGTTACCATTGAAAATTCACATGAATACCTTTAAATCTTCTTCATTAATTTCATCACTTATGTCCATGCCACTATCTCGGGATAAACGTCGGGAGTAGATATCTATTTCAGATAACTTAGACTGAGGGACCATGGACATCTTCCTGACAGCAGCATTTCCTGTTTTGTACGTGTTCTGACTTTGGTGAACTGAGGGGCGGGTCATCAGATTCAATACCGACTGTCTCCTGTTCCGTCCGTGTAATGTTGGACCAGTGTTGATCATGTTACTCCTAGGCAGAATGGCCTCTCCCTGCTCAGAATCAGGCACCAAAGACAATCTCCTTTCTAATGGCTCATCACCATTTTCTTCAATTTGCTGTTGACCCTTTTGCACTACTGAAAATTTCCTAGTGGAGTTCAGTGGACTGAGAATAGAATTCTTTCTTCTTTCCCCAAAGTCTCCAGTTTGTTTAAAAGCTTGTTTTTTTCCTTCATTCCAGGAAACAGCAGTATCACTTTCTATGGAGAAACGTCTCAGGGTTTCTGTTATGATTGAGCTTCTTCTTTCTGCGCTGAACTGGTCAAAAGAATCAAATCCCATGAGTTTTGAGCTAAAGTCAGGCCTCAGACTTTGAAGTTCAGAAAAGGTCCCATAAAAATAGCAACTGCCTTCATGTAAAATTAATATCTTGTCAGCTTTCTTTAAATGTTCCATTTTAGAGGTGATCAATATCCTGGTCTTGTTTGCCATCAGCTTACAGACACAGCTTCAGAAACAGAAAGGGGGTTTATGTCAACAAAATGTTCACTCGCAGGCTAATTTTTTTTTTGTAGGCAATTGGGGTTAAGTGACTTGCCCAGGGTCTCACACAGCTAGTAAGTGTCAAGTGTTTAGTCTGAGGAAGGATTTGAACTCAGGTCCTCCTGACTTCAGGTGCGGTGTTCTATCCACTACACCACCTAGCTGCCCCGGCAGGCTAATTGTAATGGTTATATAAGCCCCCTCCACATTTTAAGGAGGTACATAAACTTTGGTGGGGGGAAATTACGTCTTTATCCTCATCTTTAACTGAATCTTTAATTAATTAATTTAATTAATCTTTAACTGAAATTTAGTACTTTCTTCAATTATGAATATAGACCAAAAACAATCATTCTGAGAAGGATTCCACAGATTCCACAAGACTGCCAAGGGAATTCGTGATCCAGAAAAGGTTAATAATACCCTTTATATTTCATTAATTCATTATATAACTATTATGGAGCTTATATTATAAACCTTTTTTCATTTACTTTTTATGAATTAATGAAAGAAAAGCTATTTATAAAATACTTACTATTGGCTAAACATTGTATTAAGCCTTCAGGCTATAAATAAAAAAGTAAAGGTAGTCCCCCAGGACTGTCTTTGAGGCAACTAGGTGGAACAATGGATAGAGCTCTGAGCCTGGAATCAGGAAGACCTGAGTTCAAATCCAGCCTCGGACACTTACTAGCTATGTAATCCCCGTCAACTCACTTAACCTTTCTCTATATGTCTCAGTTACCTCAATCCTAAAATGGAAATAGTAATTAGTACCTGCCTCCCAGGATTGTTGTGAAGATCAAATGGGATAATTATTGCAAAGTATTTAGCACAGTGCCTTTGTAGACATTATATAAATTATATATATATATGCATATATATATATATGCACACTTGCATATATGCTAGCTATTATTATTATCCTTGCATTTAAGGAACTTAGATTTGAATGGGGGAGACAAATTATATAAAAGAGTAGTGGCCAGGGAGTGGCCACCTTGGTCTAGATGAGAAAGTTCTATGCAGGAACAATGGGAGAACTGATTTGATTATGGTTTGTGGTTCCAGACCTGGAGGTAGAGTAGGGAGGAGAAAGGACTCTGTGACCACAAAGGGGTTGTAATTCTTATTCCAAATTGAATTAGAGTTTTTAGTTAATTGTGCCATAAGCAAATTCTTCTAATAAAAGTGTGACTTCACACAGTTTACTTTTTTTTTTCACTTTCTTTATAAATCATAAAATGGTACAGGAGGTGGAAGAATAGACCCATGTTGTTTCCACAGCCCTCTGGAACTCTCAATTCTATATTTATGCCTTTTTAAATTTCAGAGCTTTTCAATTCTTAAGCAATTTCACAAATTTCCTTTCAGGTTTTAACCTCTGATTAATAATGAAGCCAAGACTACCACAAGAAACTTGGTCGAATTATGAACAAAAGAAAACAAAACTAGACTTTGGAAGCAACCCCCTGGACCATATAAGGTGACTAAATTCTTCTAAATATCCGGTCATCATGTATTGAATTAAAATCAACTTGATAAGTGGTCCTTCCAATTTTCCTCTAGGAAGATCTGGGTTCAAGTCCTGCCTATCACATGTGTTTTGACCTTATGATGCTGGTGTTCAGTTGTGTCCAGCTCTCCATGACTTCATTTGGGGTTTTCTAGGCAAAGATACTGGAGTAGTTTGCCATTTCCTTCTCCAGCTCATTTTAGAGACGAGGAAACTGAGGCAAACAGGGTTAAGTGACTTGCTCAAGGTCACACAGCTAGGAAATGCCTGAGGTTGAATTTGAAGTCAGGTATTCCTGACTCCAGGCCCAGTGCTCTATCCATTGAGCCACCTAGCTGTCCACTTGACCCCAGTATTACTTAAACCCTCTATGCCTCTAAGCTACTCTCTAAGAATATGAATTGCAGAGATGTTGATGAGCTTTGGTAAAGGGAATTTCCTCACCTAAGGAACTCTATGTCAATGAAATGTCAGGTTCCCCTAAAAACAACTGAATTTGATAAATTATTCAAAGAACTTACCTTTCAAATATCTCCTTTTCTGTTAACACATCTAAATAGCCAAATGGAGAATCTAAAAGGTACAAATCTGCATCTTTGTATATTGCTCTAAAAAACAAATGGAAACAAATTCATTTTTCTTCCATATTTACTTGCAAATTTCTATATTCTATTTCTTGTAAGTGATTTTAAATGTACAGGTAGGGTGGGAATTATGCAAGATTTTATGACTTTTAACAACTACCTAAAGGCAAGAGTTTTGCTAAATTTAAATAAAATTAACTCATGGTGGTTGCCATGTAACTAGCACATTTTTATAGTAATTTAAGTATTCACCTCCTTTTAATATATTACCTTGAGAAAACATATATTACAAAAAACAACTTTTTAAAAAAATTTAAAAGTATTTAAACCAAAGAAAATCAGAGCAGTAAAAGGAACCTTAAAAATCAGCTAGGCTAATATTTGTCAAACTATTCTGTAGATTTTTGGGACTCCACAAAAGAGTATGAGAGTTCCCTCAAACAAAATAATAATAAGAGAGGAGAAATGCACATAATAAAGCTTTTCCATCAGTGTTGGCTGTTTAGCCAATGCACAGTATGATTGGAGATTGGTCAAAATCAATCACTGAATATATCCAAATAACATATGATGCCCAGTCAATGTATGTTGGTGGAGAGGGAATGAAATAATAACTGCCTACCTACATTTTTGTTTTATATGTAAGTGGAACATATTCTGCCACATATCAGGCACTTAATAAATGCTATTAATTGTTTGAAAGTAAAAGTATTGACAACAAAAACTGATGGCAGAATTACATATTCACATATTCACAAAGTTTTGCTCTGAAGGGTTCTATAACTGAAAACAAAAATTTAGAATCACCATTCACTGACATAGTTCAATTTCTTTGCCTTGAAAATGAAAAGATGGGCTAAGGGAGACTAATGTCTACAGTCATATGGCACGTCCATGGCAGGTTTCTGATTCCTTGTCCAGTGCTCCTTTCACCAACCCATACAACTTCCCTCCATGGAATATAGTAGAGAACACCCATTTGGTTTTTAAAATAACAAATAATGTTGATGGCTACTAAACATTGTTGATGGATCACTAAACATTTTGTTCTTGATAATGTCAAATGTTAGTGAATGTGTAATTTCCTCAAAGGAAGAATTCTTAGCTCAGTCTCTTAGGGTTCATCCACGAACTTTTATTGTGCTTTCCTAACTTTATGAAGAAAAATATCTTTGGCCATATAAAATCCTTGTTGATTCAATTTTGGAACAATAGCATAATGAGATTATGCTCCCATAATTTAATGTGAATTTAATTAACTTATTACTAAGAAACATCATTGAACAAATTCAACAAACTTTTATTAAAGGCTATGTGCAAAACATTGTACCAGGTGCGAGGGATACAAAAGGCATAATGAACATATTTCTTGCCCTTAAGATTATAAATAGACAGTAAACTATTCAAATATGTTTGAGAACTTTCTTTGTAATTCACAGAACTTTTTTCAAGATGTTAATTATTTGATGCTGAAAATCTGTTGTTGCTTTTTAAAATATAGATGTACTTATTTAATAGACAATGGGCACACAGGTTAGAGTTAGACCCTCTGTGGAGGATCTATGTTAGAACAAAACCAAATATTGCACAGAATGAGTGATGGATGGGACGTGACTTGCACTGACAGAGGGAATATTGAAATCTATGAGATCATAACTCCATTGAAACATTGAAGTTTAAGTTCAAAGGTAATACGAGAAATGCCTGATTGCTTCTTAAAATTGATTGTAACCCTAGATTAAATAGCCATTTTCACAGAGACAATAGATGCTATTGCTATACCTTTATAAGAAGGAGAAAAGAACCTTGGGGACTGACCATTAACATTCATCTTTGGGGGAGTTTATGTGAAACACTGAGAAAGCATTATGAGAATTTCTGTCCTGAGGAGAGGTGGAGAGCTAACTTTCAAGTAACAAAAGACTACAGTTAACTCCACGAGAGAATGAGAATGTGACTAACAAAATTAACTGTCATTTGAGAGTCTAAAGAGATATTTTGAGAGATCTGAGTTTAACTAATCATTCCAGAGGTGAATTGAGTGAGTTAAATTATATTTATTCCTGAGAGAACGGAATTGTTGAACTATGGTTTCAGAGTTTTGGAGGATTCAGTAGTGGTAACTACCGGGGAGAGAATTCTAGTCAACAACTTCTTTTATTACTTTTAAAGAGCACACAGTGCACTCTGGCAGTGATTTTCTCACAGCCAATGCATTCTCTAAATATTTATCTATGTCATGTATTATGTTCTCCTGTTAATAAATTATATGATCAATATCACTGATGTTTGTCTAAGTCTATGAGTTTGAAGTATGAGACAGAGAGGAGAAAAAGCTTATGGGGAAAAGAAATTTCTTTGGTTTTCCTGAGGCTCAGAGCCAATGAATCAGTCAATCAATTAATGACTAATTTTGTTACTTTCTAATGAAATTCCATTCATATCTACTAAATGGTCTTTGAAACTGGAAGAATTTATAAGGTGACATATTAGTAGTAGGGTGAGGGTAGGGATTTGTGTCTTTGTCTCAGAAAAAACCTGAAAGGTATTGCTTTACATCTTGCAACACGCATACCTGCATGCATGAGATTGTTGCATATGAGTAAGCAAAAATCCTGCTATAACACTATATTATGGCATATTACAAAATAATTTTTATGTTCTAAAATTAAACAAGAAGAATAAAGAAAAAGTTTTGCTTGCTAAAAAAACAAAAACAAAAAACCACACACCTTTCAAACTACATGATCGATTTCTCTTATTATTCAGTTTTGATACGTTGTTTTGGTGACAAGTATATCTAGAATTTAAAACTGGTTATACATTAGGGCTTTTCAATTCCTGAAAAAATGCTCTTTTTGACCAAGTTCTGGGATCTCTTTAACCTCTGATGTGGAAGCAACCTCAGAATAGAAGGGGGAAAAAAAGCCAAGAAGCGAGGAGAAAAGGAAAGAAGGGAGAAAGAGAGGGAGGGAAGGAGGAAAGCAGGAAAAGAATAATGGAAAGAAAAAGAAGGAACGAAGGAAGGGAAGGAGAATTTTCCTGAATAAAGTGGGGGTATTTCTGGAGACTGGTGAAAGGCTTCTCTACAAAATTCTGTACAATAAGCTACAGATTTAGAGCTGGAAGTGACAGAGATCATTTAATCCACCATCACCCCCATTTTATTAATAAGGAATCTAAGGCAGAAAGGTAAAATAATTACCCAAGTCAAACAGATATTCAGCAGCAGAACTGGGATTTTAGTCTAGGACCTCTGCTTCGAGGTCTAGTGATACTTTTGGGATTCTACTTACTTGCAGAGCCAGGCTAAGGAGCCTGGACTACTCTTGGCTCAGCTTTGTTCAGGATGCACTAGAAAAGCTAAGATCATTCAAGGGCTACCCTCAGACGCTGAAGTTCACTCTGGAGTGAATCTGGGGGCCTTAAACCAAGTCAGAAAAATCAGATTCTTCTTAAAACAGACCCTGAGAGACCCAAACTTTTTAGGTAGTAAAATAGGGCAGAATATTGTTATTTCTAAAAATGGGTCCTGAAGTACTTGGTCTGGCCCATGTTATCTGTTCAACTGATCTACAGTTGATCTACAGTTGATCATAGTTGATCTACAACTCATTGATTAGCAATCAAGGGACCTCCTAGCCTTGCAAACTGGACATTGTGTATACCTGCCTTTTGCAGCTGGTAACTCTGGCTTACTAATATAGGGCCTAGCTACTCCCACCAAAGTGAGACAGATAAATCCAAAGCATTCATATAAAAGGAATGGACACTGTTTATCCTTTTAATTTTGCTTTTGTGGCTACCTCTCTGTTCTTATAAGTAGAAGCTTATTTTTACCTTATTATTATGGACAGTACAAGAAGGAAAAATGCTTACAAGGTAGAAGTGAGTGGTAAATATAAAACAAACCAATGTAGCTTCTAAAGTCAAATGGAATTTTTATAGTTACATTTATATTTTTGAAAACTATTTGCAGAAAGGACAAAAATGGAAATGTAAGCTTTGCAGAAGTTTCTCACATTAATTCATTAATGTACCAGTATAGTCATTCAATGTTCATTTATTAAAAGTTTACCATGTGCCAGGCACTCTGCTGAGCTTTGGGGATATAAAAAAAAGTAAAACAGCCCAGTCCCTACCCTCAAGATAGAAGCATACATTCTATTGGAGGAATTTACAACATTAAATAACTTCTTGTTCAATGGCATCCCAGATGTATATGGGAAAGAACACTGGACCTGGAATCAGAAGTCCTGGATTCAAATCCTTCTTCTGCTAAGATATATAGAGAAGGCAATCTGGTAGGTAAGGCATGAGTAACTTAGAAAATCAAAAGAGGCTCTTTCGAAAAGTGGGCTTTGGGGGCAGCTAGGTTGCATAGTGGTTACAGCACCAGCCCTGGATTTGGGAGGACCTGAGTTCAAATCCAGTCTCAGACACATAACATTTACTAGCTGTGTGACCCTGGGCAAGTCACCGAACCCCATTACCTAACCAAAAAGAAAAAAAAAATGTGGGCTTTGAGTTAAGTATCAAAGGCAGCCAGGATAACTAAGAGGCAGAGGTTAAGTCAACTTTTACCTCATTTGTGAATTACTGAGACAATTGTTCTCATTACCCAGGTGAAACCTTAATGAGTCCATTTTTTCCCTTAACAACTCTAATGAGACATGAATGATTGAGGAATAGTGATGGATTTATTTTATTATCAGAGATAACGGGTTAAGTGATTAAATTATGATTCAGCATATTTAATATTTTTTGTTCTCAAAAACAAATTAATCAGTTATGAAAGGGAATTATGCTTCTGTACAATTAGGCTAGATGACTCTGAATTTCCATGCAACTCCAGAAATTTATGATTTATTACCTCTTTGCAAAATACAATAAGCCCCAGTATAATTCTTCACACTGGTAAGAACAGCCACTGTGTCCATTCTTCTTTAACAATTATAAATTCTAGCCATTGTCAACTAATATAATTCAGCTTTCTCTTTTAAAAAATTAACTTCTAAGCCTATTAAAATGAAAACTATGGGAGGGAGAACTGGCCTCAAACTCAGGAAAATCTAGGCTTATGTCCCTCCTCTGACACATACTAGTTAGGGAAAGTCATAGGGTCACAGAGAGATAGTAGAGAATTTAGAGGTCAAATCTAAACTCTTTATTTTATAGTTGAGAAAACTCAAGGCCCAGAGAGGCCATGATTTGGCCAAAGTCACACAGACAAGAAGTGGCAGAACCAGAATTTGAACCCAATTTCCTCTGACTCCAAAGTCAGTACCCTTTCCACTGAACGAACACTCCCTACTCTCATTGACTCCCAAGCAATTGCTAAGACCAAAGGCTTGTGCTGATGTGTAGTGCTGATCTATATCTGTAAAGATAATTTCCACATAGGGAGAAATTTCCCTATATCAGTGAAATCTGAGACAAAATGGCAAACTAAAAATCTTACGTATTTTCTATGAACTTTCTGTGTGAATTTAAGCTTAATAGTTCAGCTACATAAGGCAAATACATACCCACAAATGCAAAGGCATGATATAGACTTAAAGACTAGGAGAGGCAGTGAGGTGTAACAAAAGGAAAAAAGAAATCACTGAACTTTCAAGTAAGAAAAACTGGATTCAAATCCCACCTCTCCCAATGACATGCAATGTGTCCTTGGACGAGTTATTTAATCTCTTCAAGTCTGTTTTTTTCTTCTGAAAAATGGAGATTATGATGTCAAGCCCCTACCTACCTGACAGGGTTATCGTGAGGATACAATAGCATACCAAGGGCAAGCTGATGATTGTCAATACTGTCTAATTCCTATCCGACCTTACTGCCCACAAAGTATGAGACAAGAGAGCTATTATTCTTTGGGAGATGTCCCAGGATATCAGACTCATGCCAGGTTTGTAACTAGATGCAAGGGTTGTCTGAGGAGGTACAGGCTTCATTGAAGAAGAAGCCACACATGAAGAATTCATTCACTGTGATATCCACCACAGGGTGGGAGAAGCAGCTGCCCATGGAAGTTGCTTGTCAATTCTGAGAATAAACTAAGAGAGACAAGAGACAGAGATGACTTCCCACTGTAACTGGAAACAGTCTTTAGTTGGAGAAAAGAAAATAAAGACAAAATTGTGTGGGAGATACTACAAAATGTCTGCCTGAGCACAAGAGTTCTGGTAAAAACTCTGATGATCCTGAAGCCTATACCCCAGAGATGTACACAGATCACCACGTTAGCTAACAAGACCACACTGAGAAGCTGTTGTTGTTGTGGAGTTGTTTCAGTCACATCCAACTCTCCATGATCTCATTTTTGGGGTTTTTCTTGGCAAAGACACTGCAATGGCTTGCCATTTCCTTCTCCAGTTCATTTTATAGGTGACAAAATGAGACAGACAGGTTAAGTGACTTGCCCAGGGTCACACAAGATGATATGGAGGAAAATGACCTTGCTTCCTTTCTTCTTCCTTCTTTCTATCCTTCCCTCTTTCCTTCCCTCCTTCCTTTCATCTTTCTCTACTTCCTTTCCTCCTTCCCTCTCTCATTCCTTCTTTCCTTCTACGGGTGCTATGGAAAAGTCATTCTAGGGGACATTTATTCAGGAAGTAAGCGAGCCCTCTCTCCTTTGCATAGGAGATTGCATTCGATTTTCTTAGGGGGGGCGAGAAGGAAAACTAAGAAGGATTCTGCCCCCTACTTGGCTAGTCGATCTTAATTAAATATTTTGCTACTTGAGAAGACGCACTTGAAGAGAGAGTTTAGTTGAATTTATGTAATTAGCATTATCTCACTAATGGTTCCCAGTTCTCAGGGAGATTCAGATTGTGGAACAGTGTATGGTAAAACGTCTGTTAATATAATCTACAATTTAGGGTTCACTCATTGTAAAAGTTTTCATTTTAATAAGATTTGGATGGTACATCATTATCTATAGATCTTAAAGTATGTTTTTAATGTATTACTTACAAAACTTTAGAAAATACCGCTCTTGCTCTGAACCCTAAGGTATTTTAAATCAAATTATCTAAAAAATATTGAAAGGATTTTGTGCCTTTTCATAAATGTTGTAGTTACAGCAAATTTCAGTTGAACAAATTCCAAAATATTAACCTTGCTAAAGAAATTCTTGCTCGTTGACCTCCACTCAGAGTGATTCCACCTTCTCCAAGAATTGTGTTGTCTTTTTCTGCAAACTTTGATATTTCCTATTAAAAGAATAACACATGAAAATTACCATCTGATTACAAGAATGAAAATGTATGTTTTGGTCAGGTGGAAACCTTCTGTCATAATTCTTTCTTGAGAAATTATGACTTTTAAAATGAAGCAATTATTTTAAAGGGGAAAAATCTCAATAAATATATTAAAATATCCTTAATATGAAATTAATATGGCATAAAAAGCTGTAGTTGAATAAGAAAATCAGTTCACAATTAAATGGATTCCAGCAGAATAATGTAGCAATACAATGGAACAAGCCACAACTTAACAATTTCTACTTGACAAAGAATTCATATTTCACCATAACTAAAAGTAGCCATACTGATGAGCCCAGACACAAAAACCTGGATTATAAAAATAGTTACAAGTTTTAAATGTGGCCCATAACATTTGTACTCTACTTCTTCAGGAGTAATACATTACTGCTATGATTTTAGTAAGTACAGGAAGAAATAAAAATTTTGTGAGATAGTAAAATATTCATTTAAAAATTTATTCAACAAACATATATTGAGTACCTACTATGTTTAGTAATCTATACTAGGAACTGGGTGCCACAAAGAAAAAGAAGACAGTCATATAAATTAGAATAGGATGGGTCTTTTCTTGCAAAATTCTTTGAATAGTTCAGTCGGGCCATTTGTGCTATAAAAAGGAAGGGATGGTTCTTTCTTTTAGGAGATATGTATATGTATATACGTATGTATATAGATATAAAGCAGCAGGGAGAATAGCATACAAGGCTGAAGATAGATTAGTTTCCACCAAATCATAAGAGAACTTTGAATACGAGGCAAAGAATTTCAACTTTACTCAGTAGGCAACAGGAAATCATTAAATAATTTTGAGTAGAGGAGTAATATGACTAGATCATGCATAAGGGAGTTTTGTCTGGCAGCATCATTGAAGATGATTTGTAAGGTGGGGGGGAAGATTAAAGGCAGGAGGGTCAGGAAGTTTAGATTGGATTGAAATGAGGACTCATACTAGGGTGGTTACAGTGAGAATAGGGACATTGGGAAAAGTAAGAAGGGATGACTCTGAGGTAGGATAGAAAGGATTTGCTAAGTGGATATAAGAGATGAGATAGTGGGAAGATAACAGCGTGTTTTAAATGGGAAAGATTTGGTTGAATGTTAGTCACACCGACAGACATAGTGAGGTCAGGCAGAAGAAAATTTTTGGAGAAAGGAGAAGCTTTGTATTAGGCATATTGAGCTTAGGGTATCATTACAGATATAAAATGGACATGAGATATAGAATAAAGTAAATGTATCCTGTAGGCAATCTAAGATGGGATCTTGGAGGTCAGGAGAGGTCAGAGCTGGATGTAAAAACTTAAGAGTCACCTTCAAAGAAGAGATAGTTGAAGCCATGGGAATTAATTAGATTGACCAAGTAGTCAGCATATGGAGAACAGAACTGAAGATGAAAGAGAATACTTTGAAAAAAAGACAAGGTGCTAATGAAAGAGATAGGAAGACCAGTTATAGAAGTAAGGAAGAGATAAGGATAATGTGATATCTGAAGTCAACAAAGTAGAAAAGATCCAGAAAGAAGTGGCAAATTAATAAACAGTGTCAAATACTTCAGAGGAACTAAACAGGATGAGACCTGGAAAAAGCAAAAACAAAAAAACAAAAAAAAGAACAATCCTGTTTGATGGGGGAAGTGATAGATGACCTTCGAAAGAATATTTTTTCTTTATTTTTTAGGGAGAGGACAGAAACAAAATACCAGGTGTTAGGGAGAGAGAAGTCAGTAGGCGTGAACTACTTTTTCAAGAAGCTTAATGCTATAAAGGGGTGAAGAGTGATGAGGTGTTAGTTGGGTGGAATAAAAAGGATTAAGGAAAGGCTTTATTAGAGTTCAAAGTCTTCAGGATGCTCATAGAGAGAAGGGAAGGAGCCAGGGGGAAGATGAGAATGAGGGGTTGGGTAATTGTTGAAGGCAAAGCCTTAGCAGAGAGGAACAAGAACCCACAGTAAAAAGTTAACCTCAACAAGGAGATAGAGTACCTATTTTGCTGAAACAGGAAATGAAGAAAGAATTGATGATGATGCTGAGGGATTTTAAAATTTCCAGTTTCCAGTTTTTAAACCTTTCAGTCAAGCAGAAATTAAGGAATTCTTATTCATTCTAGGGAAGGACCATAATGGCCCAACAGGGTCATCCACTGATATGTGCTGGTAAATGTTTAAAAACTGGCTCTCCAGAGGAAGGAAAAAAAAAACTATATGCAGCATATTTTTACACTTAATCTGTATTATTAACATTTTCTTCATTACTTTCTTAAGTCTAGGCAATCAACAAAGTAGTAAATCAAGTCTTGATTTATAGCATTTGCCAACAAATTTAACAACTGACTTTCCTGAGCCATCACACTCCTAGTTACATGCAGTCCAAATATCACTCTTGAAGTAATCAAAATGTTGGCGTTTGTGTCAAAATCAGCATTGTTTCCCAGAGGCAGTTCAGACTAGGCAAATTGCAGTGACTATTGTAAGGATTTCTCAGGTCTGTCCCAATTCAATCATCACATCTTTTAAGTTGGATCAGACTTGCTTTTTGTAGTGAGGGAATAAAAAGAATTTCTTATCCTTTCCCCTTTATCCTGGTAGCTTTGCAAGTACATTAATGTTTTGAATTAAGTAATGGGAACACGGGATAAAAATCATTGAGCAATTACTGGAATCCATATAGCATTCTTATGTTTTCACATGTCACTTAGTCTAAATAATGTTTTCTTTTATTTTTTAGATTCAGGCATTTACAGAATGTTAGTCAATGAAATTTACTATACCACATGTAACAGAAAGTGTTGGTGTTCATACAATTGTTCAGAATGATCTATAATATATGAAAACTACATACACACACTCATATATGTGTATGTATAGAGGTATATCTCTGTGATTTCATTGGTGTATAGAGAATTACCAGGTGAGGAAACTCCTGTGAGTGTAGGTGAGCATCTACTCTTAGAAGTGAGCATCTAGGGGCAATTAGGTGGCACAGTGGATAGAGCACCGGCCCTGAAGTCAGAAGGACCTAAGTTCAAATCCAGCCTCAGACCAAACACTTGACACATACTAGCTGAATGACGCTGGGCAAGTCACTTAACCCCAATTGCCTAACCAAAAAAAAAAAAAAAGAAGAAGAAGAAGTGAGCATCTAATCTTGGAGGTGAACATCTAATCTTAAAAAGTCACCTAGAACACTGAGAAGTTAAGTGATTTGTTCAGGGTCCCATAATTAGTATATACCATGGGCAAGATGTTGTACATATATAGATACATATACATACCTGCAAGCATTGCATGTACATAAAAGAGATGCCTATCTTTATGTATAAGCTGATATTGGTTTCCCACTGCTACAGAACCAGCTACCCCTACAACTGTTATTTTTTATTTCAACCTAATTAAATGTATATCTAAAGACATTTGCTTTTAAAAAAATCTCAAATGCACATCTTCACTAATAAGAAAAATAGTATAAATATCATTCTTACTGCCCGAGAACTACAGTCACCAAGCTTTTGTAATAGGTAAGTATGAATGTGGAAAACAGTCTTATTAATAAGTAGCTCTTTTTTCTGTGAAATTTGGGTGGCCTCATACCCATTCAGTCTCTCTTCCTCCCTCTTTCATGGAACTCTTTTCCTCTTCTCTCCTACTCACAGCAACCCCATGCTCTATCCTTTCCCCAAACTTTTCCCCATTTATATCCCAACCTGTCCTCTGTCTCCTTCATGACCAGTACTCTCCAACTCTTCAACTTATCAATAGATAAATATTTATTGAGCATGTACTATTTATCTGGGCTACTATAATTTGTTAGGGCTTCCATTCCTGGCCTCTCAGGAAAGCTACTGGATCAGATTCTGAGCACAATCTGGCTATCATTCAGTTTCCCTGGCCCCTCAACCCCTTCCATCTATACACTGCTGCCTCACACTCCAGGAAAACTCTGCTCCCAGGCTGAATCCCTATTCCTCAGTGGTTAACATATTCCCACCCCATCATTCACTTTCCATCCCAGTGATTCTAAATCTCTACCTGCCCTCTCCAAACCCCATTCTTGACCCCTCATGGGCTGCTCCCTCATGGGCTGCTCCCTCATTCCCATCCCCCTCAATACAACCCTGCCAACACCCCATTTTAAAGCTTCCCATCCCTTCCACTGTGCTTTTTTAGAATGCCTATTCTAGAATGCCTACCAAACAAGCTTTTATGCTAAACCTTTTCCTTTCTTGCTCTTTATGTCTTCTTGCACTCACTGAGACCTGGTTTCCTTCTTGATGACACAGCTTCTTTGGCCACCTCCAGCACTGGCTGATCTTTCACTCATTCACCCTGACCAACTGGTTGAAGGGGGAGAATTGGAATACTCCTTGTACACCCTTGCTACTTCCAGGCTCTCCCTTTACCACCATCACTCAGTAACCTGCCTTTCTTTAAGGTTTACTCAATCCATGTTTATCAACCATTCAAGATTCTGGTAGCTGTTTTCAACCAACGTCCAGTATACTTTCCTCTCTTCCTCAATGAGTCCAAATGAACTATACAGACAAATAAACCATAAGAGTTCAGATGAGAGAGAATGTCTTAGGTTAGGGTAAATGGGGAAAAATTTATAGAGGACATAAAAAATGTGGTTAGATGGAAAAGAAAGTGTTGGGTAGTTACTCCTCTCCATAGCATCTATTCATTCCCTTCCTCTCTTTCACCTACAGCATTATCTTTTTTCTCTTTCCTATATACAGTACAGTACATAATAAATGAGTTTTAATGATGTACTTAGCCCCAGTTCTGGTGCCAATGAGAGGACAAAAATTATTTTAGGGACTCAGCAGATACAGAATGAAACAGCCACTACACACAAAGAGAGAAAGTGGAGAAAAAACGTCAAGTCTTCAGACATATAAGGAAGATAGACACTTCATAAAGTACTTTGTTCACAGAAACTGTATGAGAAAAGG